TTTTTTTTTATTTTACTTGCCAATTAATTATAATTCTAAAAAAAATTGAAGCATCCGCATGCTGCTTGAAACCCCTATTTTAGTTCGTTGCCAAATTTTCAATTAACCAAAGACAAGAAACACAAAAAAAAACAGAAATAACTATGTATGTAAACCTAGCTATTAGGCTAGCTACTCAAATATCAAAGGCAATCGCTTGCAAAAGTAAACATCACAAAATTAAATATTTAGTTGAATATTTTCCAAACACATTGAGTCATTACAAAAGACTGTGCAAGTTAATTTGATATACTGTTAATTTGTTAAAAAATGCATGTACATACATATAAACATAAATTAAAATAACTTTATATAGTATATAAATACACCCAATAGGAAAAAGTTGAATAAGTCGAAAATGCGTACATATTTAGGCAAGCGGCGATTAACTAATTCTCAATTTCCGGTAATCGAGTTCGATAGTAGATGTATCGAATGCGTACAGCTTCATTTTAGGCACACAACGAACGAAAAATGACGCTGAAGATGGTACCACGCCGAAACCGGTTTGTCTAAAATCAAATTTGACAAGGTAGATCCCACATCCACCCTGTCGGAAACGAAAACAACCAAAAAATAAAACAACTGCGCTATAAGATTGTCTTTAGTCCTCAATTGACTTTAGTTCCCCTAGTTTTTTTCACCCGGAATTTCCCGCAGGGCAAACTTAAAAACACTAATAACATCGAGGCAGGTGCCCTCAGAAAGTAATGGTCTAAGTATAATGTTTCTTTTCTTTGTTTTCTTCGAATATGTATAAACATATTTACCTTTGACAGACAAATTGTCAATAAATCCATTAAACATTTCCTCCTCCTCTCATTTTGAATGCACTATACGAGTAAATACATACATATTAACAATATAAATGATCAAAGGCCTGCCAAGGCTGCTCAAAGCGTAATAGAAAGTGTTCTTTACAAAAAAGCTTAAAAAAGGAGATTCTTGTTTGAATTTTTAACGAAGTAGCAGGCCGATTGATTTTTTTATTTATTATTTACTAATATTCTTTTGGAATTTCTAACCTCACTTTAATAGTTAGGTATAGACATAAGCTTCTTTGTGAATACTTCGTACATATGTATGCATAACCTTTATGTTTTCCTATCTTTACAGGTTTTTCGCAAATAAAGAACTTTGGCATACCAGGTGGCTGTCTGACAGGTAAAATTAAAAAAAAAAGATTTAAAATTTAAATCCTAAATAGTTAGATTTGTATGAAATGTCTACAGGTTTTTCAGAAATTCAATATAATCTTCTTACCTCTTTCAATGCTCTATGACTTCTGGCACAAAATGCCTTCTTATCAATTCCTGGCTGAAAGAATGCACTTTTCTGACTCGAATGCGTTTTTGGCCAAACCGTATTTGAGAGGTATTCCCTAGGCTG